CCAACTGATAGGATATAGTCGGTCCACATCAACAAGGCCATGCCAGTGGGCCAACTGATAGGATATAGTCGGTCCACATCAACAAGGCCATGGCAGTGGGCCAACTGATAGGATATAGTCGGTCCACATCAACAAGGCCATGCCAGTGGGCCAACTGATAGGATATAGTCGGTCCACATCCACAAGGCCATGCGGGTGGGCCAACTGATAGGATATAGTCAGTCCACATCAACAAGGCCATGCCAGTGGGCCAACTGATAGGATATAGTCGGTCCACATCAACAAGGCCATGCCAGTGGGCCAACTGATAGGATATAGTCGGTCCACATCAACAAGGCCATGCCAGTGAGCCAACTGATAGGATATAGTCGGTCCACATCAACAAGGCCATGGCAGTGGGCCAACTGATAGGATATAGTCGGTCCACATCAACAAGGCCATGCCAGTGGGCCAACTGATAGGATATAGTCGGTCCACATCAACAAGGCCATGCCAGTTAGCCTAAAGTTGCTGAATCATGTCTTTTAAGTCTCCTTCAATACCAGTATTGAAGTCTATACTGAAGAAGGACTTGTCTCAAAGGTGTATGTGACCTCTTTTGTACACATGTATTCAAACATTTTTTCACATTGAGCGTGCCCCTAGGTGCTGTGGAGTCTAGCTCTGTACAAATACATTTAGGTTAAATGGCTGAGAAATATTATAAATTCTTTGATTAAAGGGGTCCTTACCATATTTCTGATATCAAAAATTGGTGGATTTAAGAGATTTATAGATTCGTATATTATAGCCAAAGAAGAACATAGAGTCATCCATATCTCCCGAGGAGTGAGAAATATTGTTTAATGCCACAGTCAGCAACTTTCCAGTTATAGTACAGCAGCCTGTATACTCGTGAAGATCCGGGGTAGCATAGGTCTTCAGCAACCAATGCTTGCCGTGAGACCTGGGAAGATCCGGGATAGAATAGGTGAAATGGGGTTTAACGTCGCGTCCAAGATTATTGCACTTATATAGCGACGTGCATGCACGTGTGTGTGTGTGTGTGTGTGTGTGTGTGTGTGTGTGTGTGTGTGGCTGCTTGTACTAGTCCGGACTGATGCCGATTTATAGTGCTAGCTCACTGAGATACCATGCCGCAGTTTAACATGAATACCCCACGCAGACAGTATACAAACTCCGGCCGACCAGTCCTTGTTTTATCCCCTTAATGCCGAGCGCCAGACAGGGTAACAACAAGTACCATCTTTTAACGTCTTTTGGTATGACACGGTCGGGGATCGAACCCCAGACCTTCCGCTCTCCAGCAACCCATGCTTGCCGTAACAGGCGACTATGCTTGTCGTAAGAGGCAGCTAACGGGATCAAGTGGTCAGGCTCGCTGACTTGCTTGATGCATGTCATCGTATCCCAATTGCATGGATCGATGACCATGATTTCAATCACTGGATCATCTGGTCAAGACTCGATTATTTACAGACCGCCGTCATATAGCTGGGATAATGCTGAGTGCGGCATTTAACAACAAACAAACAAACAAACACAGCAGCCTGTAAGTAATGGAATCTGGACAAGGCAAAGCTGTAACTGACAGCATGAACAATGATCTATGCCATCAGGGAATTTTGACAGGTTATTTGTCATGTAAAAGAGTCTGACCACCCGATCCCCTTCTCCAACTGAATCTTACACTGGGGACTTTGTCTCACCTGCAATCAACACAGGTGGCAATGGTGTTCCAAACTTACTGTTCTGCTGCTGTTACATGATAACCATCCCCTCAATCTAAAAGCTGTTCATGGAAACCTAAATTTGAATTCAGAGATGTTCACTTGGAGGACTTGTGCTTCAGCATGTGGAGCCTATCTCAGCTGTATATCATTGGTTGGTTTGTTGTTTAATGCCGCACTCCGCAATATTCCAGCTATATGATGGCGGACTGTACATAATTGAGTCTGGACCAGACAATCCAGTAATTAATATCATGAGCATCGATCCACGCAATTGGGATCACTGACATGTATCAAGCAAGTCAGCGAGCCTGACCAGCCGATCCCGTTAGTCGCCTTTTACGACAAGCATAGACGCCTTTAAGGCAAGTATGGGTTGCTGAAGACCTAATCTACCCCGGTGTCTTCACGAGTCCTTTCACTGGGGACCTTGTCTCACCTGCAATCAACACAGGTGGCAATGGTGTTCCAAACTTACAGTTCTGCTGCTGTTACATGATAACCATCCTCTAAACCTAAAAGCTGTTCATGGAAACCTAAATTTGAATTCAGAGATGTTCACTTGGAGGCCTTGTGCTTCAGCATGTGGAGCCTATCTCAGCTGTATATCAAACAAGTGAAAACAACAGTTGAGTAAGTATCTGTTATGTGCCATTAAAACACATCTGTGATGTCATTCTATTGTTTGAACACTCCATTATTTTTCAAGAATGGAGAGTTGTTTGTCAACTGTACATAATCTTGAACCAACATTTGAAATAATTTCCACTTGGAACAGAGAGAACTATTTTTTACATTTATTGACAAGTGAATAATTATTTTTTATTCTGAAAAGGTGTCAACAGCGGGGTTCGAACCCGCATAATTTTATTTAAGAACAGATAAATGCCAACCTCAGCTACGGCAGTACATGAATGTCTGGCATGAAAGTAACTTTTATATATTTTCATAATTTTGCATAATGCTTAAAAGCTCAAAATAATATGTATATGATTTGTGTTAGAGCAGGTTGCCTACCACAATGTTCATATTTCTAGCCTATTTTCTAGTAGTGAAGCCTGATGGTGTTATCAAATTTTTTGGTTGCATTTTGGAAGCCCCGAGTAAAAATGCAACATAAAAAACGAATCGCTAAAAGCACCATTTCAATGAATATGTGGGTATCATGCACCCATTTCTTGCAAAATTGAAAATGCACGGACTGTCACGAACTGTAGTGGGTATAAAACTGTGGCCGATTCTTGGACCTACCACTCCTTCGTCAACAATGCCACGCCTAACTCAAATTCAGAGAAACCAGGCTTTCGGACGTTTGTAAGATGGAGAGTCTGTCCAAGATGTTGCCTGTCATTTCAACGTTAACATAACCACAATTTACTGTCTCCTGCATCGATACAATGCTACACTGACCACAGATGACCTTCCTTGGAGCGGTCGTCCTAGGGTCACCACACCTCGACAAGATCGACAGACTACCTGTCAACACCAGCGACATCCGTTCCTAACTGCAAGTGAAAGTGCTCGACAGACCATAGGAACACATAATCGACACATTAGCCGGGACACTGTGATCCAACGTCTCCGTTCCAACAACCTCAGATGTCGCCGACCAGCACGTCATCCTGTTCTCCAACCACGGCATCGACAAGCACGACTTCAGTGGGCACAGGGTCATCACAATTGGCGTCATCGTGAGTGGAGGCGTGTCATCTTCTCTGATGAAAGTCGCTTTTGTGTCGCCCATGCAGACGGAAGAGTCAGAATTTGGTGGCGTCGAGGTGATTGTTTCGCTGACAGAAACGTGGAAAGGGGTCCATGGGGTGGACTTAGCGTCATGATATGGGCAGGGATTGGACTTAATGCAAGACTTGGACCCATGTGCTTTCTGAATGTTGGTCAAGGCCGGGGACACAGCGTCACTGCTCAGCGGTATATCGACCAAGTGATCAGACCCCATGTTGTTCCATTTTTTGCACAACATCAACACATTTTCCAGCAGGACAGCGCTCGACCCCATGTTGCCAGAGCTACCATGGCCTTTCTGCATCAACACAACATCTGTGTTCTAACGTGGCCAGCCCTCAGCCCTGATCTGAACCTCATCGAACTCTTGTTGGATGAGGTTCCAAGGCGTCTGCACAATGTGCGCCCAGTCCCTACAACTGCCAATGAACTACACACAGCTGCTCTGGATGTGTGCAGGAGGATCCCTAGGGCCTTCACAAATCGTCTGATCCACTCATGTACAGATGTGTGGCAGTGATCAATGCTAATGGTGGTCACACCAGGTATTGACTGACATTTTGGGTATTGACCCAAAGATGTGTAAGCCCTCAACATTTGAAAAAAACAATTATGTCATCTGCCTTTTAATACATTAAACTGTCTTCAGTCAAATCTTTGTCAATCTTGCCCTATTAGTATTTCTTGTCTTTACTGTTGAAAATAAATAACATGTATACTGCATACTCGACTTGCATTTCTTTTGCGTGTGAGTATATATCTCCTTGTTCGGGGCTCTATATTCTATTATTCCCGTCAGCATGCATTATCAATGTGCAAGCGATTGGTAAATAGTAGTTTAATGAGTGAGTGAGTATGGTTTTATGCCGCTTTTAGCAATATTCCAGCAATATCATGGCGGGGAACACCAGAAATGGGCTTCACACATTGTACCCATGTCGGGAATCGAACCCGGGTCTTCGGCGTGAAAATAGTAGTTTAGGACCAAACGAAACTATGAAGAGTTGTGTACAATTCATTGTAAATGTCAGCTCACGATGGTGCTTGGCGCACGTGCAACAGCGGCTAAGAACGCATTCCTCGTGCATCATGCAAGGGTGTCTTACACAATATAAATACAGACAACAAAGAGTTCTGGTTTATTTTTCAAATATTTTCCACAACAGAATATTTTGTCAAAGTGTAAAAGTAGGGATGAGTTTAAAGTAGGGGAATATCCTTGTGACTCTCCATTCCTTAAAAATAATGGGCCTCGACCCCTGCGGGGCCTCTGCTCCATTATTTTTAAGGAATGTTGAGTTACTCAGACATTCCCCTCTACGCAGAGATTGTTGTAAGTTTATTTGTAGTCATTATTTGTCATGGGTCACTTGTGCCCTCAATTCTCATTCTAGATGCCACTTCTGATAAGCTTGGGTCAATGGGTCAGATATTGCCACAAATCCTCATAAAATTATGCCTACAGATTTAACACATGTATATTTACAAAGAGTCTGTTATGGTCTGAATAAAAATGTGAACAAAATACAAGGAGTAAATAGCTTTATTGAATGAACAAGATACATAGCTAAATACAGAAAATTTGGCATAATATTTTCCAAATTCATAATTGACAGTGGCTGATTTTGTTACTCAACTCATGAAGATCAATATTTGCAAACACAATCTGGAAGTTTGAAAATGCAGTAGTAATAACATGATACTCCTTGTCTGGAAGAAACATTGTCAAAAGTGGTAAAAAGTGTAATGACAAAAGTAGACTAAACGTTGTCAAACAATACAAAACATCAACAGGCAAAAGAATAGACAGCAACAAAAATAGGCATATATATTTCCCAGTATATATTGGTCTGTACCACGTTATTGCTATGGTCCCAAGAGTCAAGAAACATTCAGCTAATCAACCACAATGGAAATTACGATATATACTGGTACAATCAGATGATATGCACTTTCCGAACAGTTAAACCAGGCTATTTTCTCTCCCAAAGTGTTGCGTAAATGACATATACTACTCAAACGTACTATAATTACTTTGTCTACAATTAATTTGTCATCCCACAACACATTACAATAGTTTGATAGAATTTGGGGGTCCGTCTTTTGAGTAGTGTAACTTATTTGTGGAGTTGTGGAATATTCATTTTGAAAGTTAGCAACATTTTTGGCAGACAAAATTTCATGCTGTGAAATTCCATGTTTTCATGTTTGTTGGACCTTGATAGCCATGGAATTATATGGAGAATGTTCCAGTCTTAAGGTCACATAGCATGTACAATCGAGTCATGGAACTTTCGCCTATATCGGATCCTACCATTTCCCGCGTAGTGTTACCAGGTAATTATAGTCACACACTCCATTCAAGTAAACCAAAGAACTGGTACAAGATTGATAACTGATATGGTCAACATACAAAATGTATAATCAAGATAACACCATGTTTGTACCAACCTAAGTACATACATACATACATACATACATACATTATCAGCACAAAGATTTGTCAATGACTAGACAAAGTAGAGATAGTGAAAAGAAATAAACAATTATACTAAATCACCTCCCAAGATGTACTGCTACAGGACTGTAATATACCCGGATGCAACTGTTATAGGATTCTGTCCCATCTTATCAATACATTTAGTTACTGTTTTGGCATAACAGATGAAAACATTGGAATGAAAAGCAGCCTGGAAAGTGTTCATATACTGAACCCAAAAAGTTAGTGCACACAATTTCATATGAAATATCCAAAGAACTATTCATGACCCCTAACTTGTTTGGCTTCCTATATATAACTACACTGCTTAGCAAGAATCTCTTGCCTACAGGACGCATGTAACAAAAGGTAGACTGGGCTACTTGTCGTGTTGTTCTACGGGTGAAGCAGAGGGAGTGTTATATCAATAGGATATCATACATGGAAACTTTGTCACGTTAAGGAATGAGTTGAGAATCATCAGAAAATAGAATTTTACAAATCGTTATTAAATCACACCATGACATCTGTACTAACATGGATTGTACGTATTAACTAAAAATCATACTATGGCATTGTGGTATACTGTATTGCAATGAATATTTAATCAAAATCTGTGCCTTTTTTCAAACAATACTCAACTCTTAATCTTATTCATCAAGCTCATATTTCATGAAGCGACCTACGTATAGCTGTAGGTATATGGTAAGCAACTACAGAAGCTGAACAACAACTAACAGGACGGTCCAGGAGGACTAACGGCAGCACTGATAACACCCGCTCTCACAGGCCTCAAGATGAAAGACATTTCACTAAATGCTTCAGTCATAGATCCCCCTGGGTCAGGCCTTCTCACATAATGCTGGTTAAGAGAAATAAATGCAGTAGAGTTTGCTAAGAATAATATAAATTTAATATATGTTTACAAATTTAAATGTTAGATTAATTATGATTTTGTTTGCGAAAACAGTCTGTAATATGAAGTGGGATATATTAATAAAGTTTAATTTTATCTAATCCAAGAGCAGGGTAATTAATGTTGTTTTTTTGTGAAGTTCCACACTAACAAACTTATCAAAAACATCCCTGGAGTTTGTAACATTCAGAGTTGACAGCAACTCTTTCTTGTCAGTCAGTGTTGTCTGTCAACTGAACATCCAACCTGACATACAGATCAGCCACGTACTCACTTGTGTCCTTGCTCTTGCATACTAAGAAAGACCCCCCACCCCCTCAAAAACAAAACAACAACAACTAAACAACAAAAACCCCAACATATTACTGCTGATATTGGGTAGAGTGTTGATGTTTCATCTTCCAACATGTACCCTAGAAGACCTGATCATCCGTGGAGGCCTCTTGACTGTCATATTAGGACTCCAACACTTGGAACTTCACATTTCTTTTGTCCAGTCTCTCGATCAGACTCGTCTCGCCAAAAGCAGCACCAGGTGTGTAGACACCGCCACTGGAAACACAGACGGCCAAACTCAACAAGAAAACTAGAAAACTGTTTGCATTACATGCTGTTACAGTTGGTTTGTTTGTTTGTTGTTTAACGCTGCACTCAGCAATATTCCATCTATATGACGGCAGTCTCTAAATAATCAAGTCTGGACCAGACAATCCAGTGATTAATATCATGAGCATCAATCCACGCAATTGGATAAGATGATATGCATCAACCAAGTCAGCGAGCCTGACCACCCGATCCCGTTAGTCGCCTTTTACGACAAATATAGTCGCCTTTTACGGCAAGCATGGGTTGCTGAAGACCTATTCTATCCTGGAATCTTCACAGGTCTGCTGTTACAGAAGCAGTACAACCTTTCCTGAATCACACTTGTGACATACCAATATTTGACACTGAATGTTTCATTGAATTTACATCCATTCCTTATCATGTATTTTGAACCATTGGAATTCAGCAAATCAGGTGACAGCTAAGTAACCTAATCTATCTTGTTACATACTACTCAAGAAGATAAGGACCACACAGTTCTTAGTAATAGATTATTAAACTTTGATCCTTTTCTGTTCATATTTAAAGGATCACACATGAAGTTCAGTTAAACTATTACCAAACCAGAACATCCTTGCTGATTAACTACTGCGAAAAATATTACTGAACTATGAATTATACAACTGAAAATAAGCATTCATAACAATGTTTGACCATAAAATAATTAAAATATTGGATTCAAAACAGCATATATTGTTAATATTAGCTTTGTCTAACCCATATTTGCAAAAGTGGCTTTGTTGAAAATGGATGCTATGGTAGCCATATTGGAAATGAGATGAAACTTACTCTGAAGGAAGTTTGGACTTTTCCTTGAGGATCAGAAGTCCTGCTTGTACCATACAGATTGGGGTGGTCACATAGCCAGGCTCTGTATCAAACAAATTAAACTTGGAATTAAAATACTAGAACAAACTAACACTATTTTTAGGCAATAAGATATCTCTGTAACATAGAAAAGACAACATACATGTAATTAACAAATGCCCGGTACTCATGAAAAAAAACTGCTACAAAGAAGTATAATCTAACAAGGTATGACTCTCACAAATTCCGTCCTTGAAGTCAAGGTGAGGTGAAATGGGGCTTAACGTTGCATCCAAGATTATTGCACTTACATAGCGACGAGCATGCACGTGTGTGTGTGTGTGTCTGCTTGTACTAGTTCGGACTGATGCTGATTTATAGTGCTAACTCACTGAGATGCCATGCCTCAGTTTCACATGAATACCCCACTTGGACACAATATACTGACTCCGAGCCGACCAGTCCTTGTTTTAGCCCCCTAATGTCGAGCGCCAGGAAGGAGTACAACAAGTACCATCTTTTAACATATTATGGTATAACGCAGCCGGGGATTGAACCCCAGACCTTCTGGTCTCCGGGCGGACGCTCTACTAGACAACTGAGGCAGTCCCGTCCTTGAAGGATAGTGAGTGAGTGAGTGAGTTGGGTTTAATGCTGCTTTTAACAATATTCCAGTTATATTGCGGTGTGTCAGCTTAATGTGGGAGGAAAGCCCGATGTGATGCAGGTCTCAGACGTTTACCGCTTCGGTGAAACCCACGAGCACGGGTATGGTGCTGACAAACCTAGAAACATAATCGGGGCGAACTGGGATTCGAACCCACAATCATGGGTTTCTGGCATGCCCAAGGGACGCAACTCTGCACAGCGAATCGCAGCGCCTTAGACGACTGGGCCAACCGTGTCCCCTTCAAGGATAGGTTCCGAGTGCCCAAAGCTTACTACTGAAGTGTATTGGGAGATGACAGCGTGTAACTGTGGATTGTCTTCCATCATACTCGGAGGCACAGATTGTTCTCATGAAACCCATCACCCACCGTGGACCTGACATGATTATTAACATGTTACCATGGTGAATCTGGAGTCCTGCAGACTGTAGTGTAAAACAACAATCACTCACAAATTTGCTCTTGGAATAGATCTTACAGATTCAGTGAGTGGGTGGGTCTGAGCGAGTGAGTGCATAAATGAGTTGCGTTTGAAGGAGCTTCCAACAGTATTTTAGATATATCACGGCTTACATCTTAAGTTGGAGGTGAGGTGAGGTGAAATTAGGTTTAACGTTGCATCCAAGATTATTACACTTATGTAGCGACATACATGCAGGTGTGTGTGGCTGCTGGTACTCGTCCGGACTAATGCAGATTTATAGTGCTTGCTCACTGAGATACCATGCCTCAGTTTAACATAAATAACTGCATTCAGACACAGTATAGCCGACCAGTCCTTGTTTTTAGCCCCTAATGCCAAGCACCAGACAGGGTAACAACAAGTACCATCTTTTAACATCTTTTGGTATGACGCGGCCAGGGATCGAACCCTGGACCTTCCGCTCTCCAGGCGGACGCTCTACCACTAGACCATGGAGGCGGTCACATCTTAAGTTGGAAGACAGCCTAGAGTGATCCTTGTCTTAGATGTTCACCTCTTTGGGGAACCCAGAAGCACAGGAATAATGCTGATAAGTCAAGCCCCATGATCAGGTGGGGCTTCAAGTCCCACAATTACAGGATTCTAGCAAGCATAAGGGACACAACTCTTCCCAATGACAGATCACTGCCTGAGATGATTCACTGGATTTCAGTCTTTCTGTCCTGTCAACAAGAGAGCGTACCTGGTCCCATGACTTTGGTCTTTATTTTCTTGTCAGGGGGGTTCTCATGCTGTGCCTCTGGGTCGTCCAGCTTGTCACTGTAACCCTCTCCAAAGAATGTCATGGAGAAAGCGGTACCTTCAATCTGTTGAAAGCACATAGCAATTTTTAAACTGTTGTCCAAAAGGTGAGGTGAAGTTGGGTTTAACGTTGAGTGCAAGATTATTGCACTTATATAGCGACATGCATGTACGTGTATGTGTTTGTGTGGCTGCTTGTACTAGTCCGGACTGATGCCGATTTATAGTGCTAGCTCACTAAGATACCATGCCTCAGTTTAACATTTTTAACATTTTTTTACTCAGACACAGTATACTGACTCCGAGCCGACAGGGTAACAACAAGTACCATCTTTTAAAGTCTTTTGGTATTACGTGGCCGGGGATCGAACCCCGGACCTTCCGCTCTTCCACTAGATCATGGAGGCGGTCCTGTTGTCCAAAACATGTCATGCAACTGTCACTATGTGAATCTGTCACTGTTTTCGCATAGTTTAATTGAGGTCAACATGAAGATGTGAAGAATATACTATCAATTTATACATATTGGTGATGTATGCATAATTATGTATGACTGTATAAAGCCTGAATCTAATATACATATCAACAAATAAACAAGAATTTCATACAATGTGGAGTTGGGTAGACATGGTAGAGTGGGGTAAATTTATTTTGGTAAGATATTGTTTTCAAGGGCAGTTATTATCGTCATATTTTTACTTTTCAGAACTATTTTTTTATGCATCCATAGCACAAAATTTCCTTTTCTTGTGGCCATTTTGCAATATCCTATAACAGAAAGCAAGACTTCTGTGGGATGAGAGAGAATACACACTACAATGAGTATTGAATTTCACCGTCTCCTGAATTGTTATCAAGCAAAATGTCAGCACCTGTTTCTTGCTGGGCCCGCCTCTCTTCACCAGCCCAGCTGTAAACAAGCCAGGATACTGTGGAGAAAACAATTGATTAGTCAACACTGAATTGTATGTATGAAACACTTAAGACATAAATGTCTGCTTTCTGAAGAATATCATTCATCTTGTTTGCAAACTCAGTCATACATTTGGACATTCAGAAGTGAAGACATTGTGAATACTTCTGTGATATAGTGAGTGAGAATGGTTTAACGCCATGTTTAGCACTATTCCAGCAATATCAAGGCGGGGGACACCAGAAATGGGCTTCACACATTGTACCATCGAACCCAGGCCCTCAGCGTGATGAGCGAATGCTTCAACCAATCGTCTACCCCACCGCCCCTCTCTGATATAGAAAATATATACCTCATTTCAGCTGCATGCATGTAAATTTTTAATTGCAGGCAAAGCCAAAAAACAAAATATTTCAGGTGACATTCAGGGAACACAAACAGATAGGTCAGTAGGTAAAACAACCCTTACTTTTTTTAGACACAAATTTCGATGAATTCTCTGGATATCTAGTTAAAGATTTGATGAGAGTGTGAAATGATGTCAGTCAGGTTACTGGAAACACCTTCTTGTATGGCCGGAACTCACCTGTAGGAGGATGTTACGAGTAATGCTAAACTTGGCGAGGAGTCCGAACAGCGAGCCGAACACAACCATGAGGATCATGTACAGGAAGCTGTCAACGCATAGATACGGGGAGAACTGAGTCTGGGGAGAGAAACATGATAGATGCTGTCATCGGGAGAAGGTGAAGATGGTATACAGCCTACATGTTTGTTTGTTTGTTGTTTAATGCGACACTCTGCAATGTTCCAGCTATGTGACGGCTGTCTGTAAATAATTGAGTCTGGCCCAGACAATCCAGTGATTGACATCATGTGCATCGATCCTTGCAACTGGGATCGATGACATGCATCAAACAAGTCAGCGATCCTGATCACCTGATCCTGTTAAAGTCACCTCTTACGACAAGCATAGTCCCCTTTTACTGCAAGCATGGTTTGCTGAAGACCTGTTCTACCCCAGATCTTCACTGCTTACCATGTCAGTTTTCTTCATTTCTAATTTGTAGCAAAATTAAAGCACTGAGAATTAGTTTTCATTTCATTTCAGAACAAATGAGTAGTCTTGGGCTAGCAGCCACACATGAATTTTGAAGGCTGAATATATGGTGCTGACAAATCAAGGATCGTAATCAGAAAAAAATCGGTGATTTGAACCAATGATCACTGGATCCTGGCACCACTAAGGGACGCAACTCTACATGTGAACTGCAGCACCAGATCACCTGAATAGCCAGAAGTATTCTATGGCTGTACACCTTGGGTTCCCTGAATACTAAAAGGTATTGTTTTCATGTAACATCATTCAAGGAATGTAGAGGTAGTGATTGGCAACTTACAGGGCGCGACTTTTTCACATCATATCTGTATCTTTGTGTTCTGCTCACAACTGACTTATCACTTCCAAGGAACGGGAAGCACCACTTATCCATTAAGCCACTCTTGAACACAGCTGACCTGAAAGAATAAATAAGATGAAATTACATCTGATCAACTGAATCAATGACAGACATAGTGAGCCTCAGTATGTCTCATAACCTAGCTTGCTATTGCATAAAGGCAGCTATTTGGGGTAAATGTGACTCCAAATACAGGAGGTAATTTTTTTTATGTATGAGCCGATAGTAGCTGGTTTCTGATTAATGCTTTGTCATACATTAAAAAACATCCTAAATTTGGCTGCTGTCAAGAATATTACCATAAATGCTAATCAACATCAATCTTTCCACAATTTTAGGAAAAACAACACATTCATGAATCATGTAACCATGTATGGCTATTGTTGCCATGGTTTCTGACCTTCTTGGGGCCTTGTGTTTACTGCGAGGCAGAGGGTTGGGAAACAGCTGCTTTCTGATGGCAGGCAGCTCCCCCTGGTTTGCGAAGCCATGGACGGCAGATTCAAAAGTAGTGTAGTTGATCGCAGCTCCCTAGAGAGAGGTACAGGTTCAAACAGACATGAGCAAATAGTCTTCACTTAGAAAGAGGTAAATCATCCAGTTTGGTCTCAATACAACCTGAAACAACATGACAACAGTAGTTGCAAAAGGCAAAGGCACTTTGGACAAAGGGGAATAACTCTGAACACCCTGTCAAGCCAATCTACAAAATGTACTTCATACACCAATTTCATGGTTACAATGTGTACAGACTTCACCTCAAGTGCTCATATCAATCACTGGATTGTCTGGTCCAGACTCGATTATTTACAGACCGCCACCATATACAGTCAAGTCTCGTTAATCCGACATCGTTGGTTGCACATGATTGTGTCGAATTAACGAGTATGTCGGATTAACAAAATTAATTCATTTGTGATCGAAAATCGGACGTCTTCACGATAGATAATAACCGTGTGTACCTTGTAATAAAAACATTAAAAACGAAATATTAATATTGTTATGTTGTTTATTCATTCATTCCTTAATTTATAATTAATGACAGTGCAAAAATAATAATAATTTTCCCATTTATACATAACAATAGAGACATTACTCACTGACAATGCGGTGTTTGGTGGTAAAAAGTGACATTTCACATTAGTTATGTCGACAGTAGCATTGGATGGGGCGTTGTCCAACAGCAATACCACGTGGCATTGCTCCAATCGCATTTGCCGATCCAAGATCAGTAGCCAGGCTTTGAATATTAATGAAGTCATCCATGCTTTCTTGTTTACATACCAGTCAACCATGGTGAGTCGACCATGTTTTATATACCTGTTCGTTCATGCACATTAATCTGGCTTCAATTTGTAAACTACATTTGTATAGCTTTGTACATACAGGTTTAAATAGCTTTTCCCGTTAATTGTTAAGTTAATCTCTGCAGCCAGTGCGTGTCAAAACACTGGCTGTGTACTCGCGGGCAGATGACCACGGAGTACGCTGATCACTGTGTCGGATTAACGAGACTGATTAATGAGTGATTTCGGTAATTCGTTGCAAATTAGGTGTGTCGGAGTCGGAGTGCGAGAATGTCGGATTAACGGGACTAAATAGCACTGAATCAATCGGTTCCCATCATTTGTGTCGGATAAAGCCGAGTGTCGGATTAACGAGTGTCGGATTAACGAGGCTTGACTGTAGCTGAATATTGCTGAATGCGGCGTACAACAAACCAACCAACCAACCAACCAACCAACCATCCAATCACCTCAAGTTTGATGCAGGATATTTCTACCACATTGGTAATATATCCATCCCACACATGTAATATGTACACAGTATGTCCAAACACATGTAACATCCACATATGTATTAGGGCTGGGATGGGTAACTCCGGTACTCAGGTCAGGTGGGTCCTGAGTAGGACCCGGGTACCCACAGTAATTACCGGATCCGTGGTTAATCATGTGATATATTGTTTAATGACAACAAACTGACTATAGTGACTGACTATAATGTTCGCATTTCTTTCTGACAATTCACACATTCCTTCTGACTTGTATATGTTTTAGTAAAGATAAAGCTTCAGTCAACTTCTGTGTACACATCATCTGATCGTTTGATACATATGTAACTAAATAATTTATGCCAGGGATGCATAAACAATTCCCTATCAGACATTTTGTTCCCAACTCTTGAGACCTCCAGTGGGTACCTTGGTAGGGTTGGGTAAAAGAGGGTAGGGTACCCTGCTAATAAATTTGGACTCATCCCAGCCCTAATGTCTTATGTTTTTGTTTGTTTGGTTGTTTGTTTTTTAACCCTGCACTCAGCAATATTCCAGCATAATATTCAAAATTTTTTTTTCTCCAAAATATTGAACCTGCTAGAGGGGGGTGCGCATTATACATGGGTGCGCACTATACTCAAGAAAATACGGTATATGACAGCTCTCTGTAAATTATTGAGTCTGGACCAGAAATTCCAGTGATTGACATCATGAGCAACTGCGATACCCTGACATGCATCAACCAAGTCAGCGAGTCAGACCACCAAATCCCAATAGTTGCCTCTTACGACAAGCATGGGTTGTTGAAGACCAATTCTCACCCATTTCTTTATGGGGTGTTTACACATATGTCCACATGATTCGTACGAATACATGTAATGTACACATGGACTATACACGCATGTAATACAAATATGATAAACCTAACATACATAATCAGCTTTCATCACCTACCTCTGGTCCTGAGGTCAAATTGACGTAACACTCCACAGAATTCAAATCACCTGAAACAGTTCAAAATAGGCTCATATTTAATCCGTCAACATAGCGTCAACAGATATTTTCCAAATCTTTTCATGCTTTAAATCAAGGTGCTCAAGTGATTTGATGCACTTCGTGAAGAAAACCCCTTTTATTACAATATAAATCTTAATTATCAATCAGATCATCTTCACTGGGCACAGTCATTTTCTTTGAAGCAAATGCAAGTGATATGAGAGTAGGAATCTGATTGGTCAAAAGGAGGGATATAGAAGGGACATAACTCGTCATAGCCACTGGTGGCACTACGATCGAAAAATCCAGCCTAGTTCGGCCAGGGTGGAAACTGGACTTTTACAGTGAGTTAACTCCCTTGCCTCGGGAAGATGTTCAGAACATACCCTGAAACTTAGATTTCATGAAGACAACGCCAAGGTCTGCAGGGATGCTGTCGAAACCACAGCTGCCGACGATGTAGACGCCAGCTTCCTTGGCCTTGGCGTTGTACAAGAGCTGCATGTTCTCCAGGTACTGGAACAAAGAGACAGGGTCAAATGATACATTTCAGTAGCTGTAGTACCAAAGAAGACTTTACATATGGATTTCAACTTCTATATTCCTTCAATAGTAAGTTTGGGTACAGGTGCTGGTACCTTTATCAAGCAAGTTCACTAGCAGTCTAGCACCTGTACCAATATGTTGCACTGAAAGAACAGATAAGCTAAAATCAAGAAAACAACTTTGTCTGCATTGACAAGTGAACTTTGAACAGTACAGCGGAGGTCAAAATAACAATACTCTGAGATCCTTATTATCCCTCACCCTTTAACAATTATTTGCTTTTGTGGAATTTCTAATTTCCGTTCTTTCGTTCGTTCGTGAGCGAGCGAGTCTTTGGGGTAACAATCTATTTTAACAAGTAGGCTACCCCAGCAATCATTAGAGTCCTATGAGCTTAAATAATGTTTTACATGTAAATATATTTTATAAACAAAGCAAACAGCTTCATCTTAAAAACTTGCTTGTCTTCATTGTATGAGTGAGGGAGTGAATCATGGCTTGTACTGCATCAGCCTTATTAATTAAAGCAGCTAGCAAACAGGTGTGGTTGACATGACAAACAGTGAACCTAACATTCAAGGCCACACACGATCCTGCCTGGGCACCCACAGCGAAACCACTAGAAGAATGCTGTTGTGCAGGTTCTAGGCTGCTGTGATGTATGACCAACTGATGGCAGTAATCCAAGCCGAGAAAAGTTTCATTTTTTATATACTACTCAAAAGAAGTTAAGGAGCACCATCGTCACGATATGGCTGAAATATTGCCGATGTGACGTTAAGCATAAACTCACTCACTAAGGAGCACCAAATTCTTCCATATTACTTTAGTAAACCTTTCATGCCATGACAGACTACCGGTTTCTATAGCAATATGAAACAATTGGGTGGTTCTTAACTTCTTTTGAGTAGTATATATAAACAATCATCTTCACAGATTTGAGAAACCCATGGGTCAAACGGTTAAATATTATCTGAACTATCACTTTCATACTTGATTCAAGTTTATAAAACAGCCACGTAAATTATGTATCACAAATAGTATGTGAACAGTGTTTGGTCTGGCCAACTGACAGACAACAGACATTTCTACCATTTTATCAAATCGGTACTACAACCACATGTCTGTGCCGTGGAATATCATCAGAAACATGGTCAAAGAGTTACTGCAGACTTAATGGAATTAAAACATACAGATTTGCTCTATGATGATGCAGACATCTGGATTTTAAGCCAGCCAATTACATTAACTGCCTACATGTGTACCTTCACAACTGCAAATACAATAGTCACCATTTTAATTCCCTTGACACCACTGATACTATATTCAGAGAGCTACCTTTAAGGTTCAAGGACAAACTGATTTAGAGAGGGTGAGTGAATGAATATTTGTGAATGAATCAGCTAATTACCTAAAGTGCCCTCATGTGTACCTGCAAATGTAATTCAACTAATTCCCTTGAGACCACTGTTACTGTATAATATATCACTAAAAACTATGGGACAGAAGTAATACAACACTCAACGTTATTCCCTTGTCACAATGTATTTCTGCAAATTCAACATTTTTAACTTTCATAACGAAAGCAATCCTGTTTCCCGTTGCTGTTAATTAGAGTGGGCCTTGTATACCTGTGGCTCTCCGCTTATGTCAATGTGGCTTGCTCCCTCTTCGATACAAGCTCTCACCAACTGGTTGCCATGGAAACGGTACTGGAACACAAATGATTATTAGAAACTATAATGCATTAGACTACACATAAGCTAAGTTTCTGTGTAGCAAGTACCATGGGATATGTGTTGACATATGATATATCTACTAGAGCTGGGACAGGTAACTCGGGTACCCGGGTACTCGGGTCTGGTGGATCCTGAGTAGGACATGGGTACCCACAGGACTACCCGGACCCGTGGTTAGTCATGTGTTATATTGTTTAATGACAAAAACTCTCTATAGCTTAGTGGCTACACTACAAATCGCTAATGTTCGCATTTCTTTCTGATGATGCACACATTCCTTCTGACTCATATAAGTTTGAGTAAAGATAAGCTTCAGTCAACTTCAGTGTACACATGATCTGATTGTTTGATACATGTATCTAAATAGTCTTAGCCAGGGCTGCAGTTAAACAATTCCCAATCAGACATTTTGTTCCCTACTCTTGTGACTTGCCGGGGGTACCCGGGTAGTGTTGGGTAATAGGGGGTCGGTTACCTGGGTAGTAAATTTGGACTCGTCCCAGCCCTAGTATCTACCGATTCAATAATAGAACATTTTGACCCTTGTATAACATGGTACATAGTTGTATTGTATTGTATCAACACATGAACTACAAACACACTATTTGTATACTTCCACCCTTGTATATACATATATATATGACCTACTGATACACTGTTTATATATTTTCACCCTTGTATTATACTTGCATTTTTTAAAACTAATACAAGATCTACTGATACGCTATTCGTATATTGTCACCCTTGTATTATACTTGGGTTTTTTTTAACTAATACAAAACCTACTGATACGCTATTCATATATTTTCCCCCTTGTATTATACTTGCATTTTTTAAAACTAATACAAGACCTACTGATACGCTATTCATATATTTTCCCCCTTGTATTATACTTGCATTTTTTTTTAACTAATACAAGACCTACTGATACACTATTTGTACATTACATTTCACCCTTGTATATACTTGCATTTTGTTTAACTGATACCTAACAGTACATGACTTGTATCATGGACAGACATTATCTAACTTTACCATTCCAGTGAACTGTTCTCTTTTATTTGACAAGGTCATTGAAACTAAACTGAAAATGTCATTGTACACCACACACAAACACATGTCACCCACCATGGAAAGTTGATGAATCACACTAATAATTAGTGTCAACAGAATGGTCCGTCATATTTCTGGAAATTAGATACATCCAGTCAACTGGCTTATTGCAAGGTCTATTTTCCTGTTCAGACTATTGTATATACCAGTACAGACCATTGTATATACCGGTATAGACCATTGTATATACCAGTACAGACCATTGTATATACCGATACAGACCATTGTATATACCGATACAGACCATTGTATATACCGATACAGACCATTGTATATACCGATACAGACCATTGTATATACCGATACAGACCATTGTATATACCAGTACAGACCATTGTATATACCGGTTCAGACCATTGTATATACCAGTACAGACCATTGTATATACCGATACAGACCATTGTATATACTGGTACAGACCATTGTATATACCGGTGCTGACCATTGTATATACCGGTACAGACCATTGTATATACCGGTTCAGACCATTGTATATACCAGTACAGACCATTGTATATACCGGTACAGACCATTGTATGTACCGGTGCTGACCATTGTATATACCGGTACAGACCATCGTATATATTGGTACAGACCATTGTATATACCGGTGCTGACCATTGTATATATCGGTACAGACCATTGTATATACCGGTACAGACCATTGTATATACCGGTACAGACCATTGTATATACCGGTACTGACCATTGTATATACCAGTACAGACCATTGTATATACCGGTACAGACCATTGTATATACCAGTACTGACCATCGTATATACCAGTACAGACCATTGTATATACCGGTACAGACCATTGTATATACCGGTGCTGACCATTGTATATACCGGTACAGATACAGACCATTGTATATACCGGTGCTGACCATTGTATATACCGGTACAGACCATTGTATATACCGGTACAGACCATTGTATATACCGGTACTGACCATTGTATATACCGGTACAGACCATTGTATATACCGGTACAGACCATTGTATATATCGGTACAGACCATTGTATATACCGGTACTGACCATTGTATATACCGGTACTGACCATTGTATATACCGGTACTGACCATTGTATATACCGATACAGACCATTGTATATACCGGTACAGACCATTGTATATACCGGTACAGACCATTGTATATACCGATACAGACCATTGTATATACCGATACAGACCATTGTATATACCAGTACAGACCATTGTATATACCGGTTCAGACCATTGTATATACCAGTACAGACCATTGTATATACCGATACAGACCATTGTATATACCGGTACAGACCATTGTATATACCAGTACAGACCATTGTATATACCGGTGCTGACCATTGTATATACCGGTACAGACCATTGTATATACCGGTTCAGACCATTGTATATACCAGTAAGGACCATTGTATATACCGGTACAGACCATTGTATGTACCGGTGCTGACCATTGTATATACCGGTACAGACCATCGTATATATTGGTACAGACCATTGTATATACCGGTGCTGACCATTGTATATATCGGTACAGACCATTGTATATACCGGTACAGACCATTGTATATACCGGTACAGACCATTGTATATACCGGTACTGACCATTGTATATACCGGTACAGACCATTGTATATACCGGTACAGACCATTGTATATACCAGTACTGACCATCGTATATACCAGTACAGACCATTGTATATACCGGTACAGACCATTGTATATACCGGTGCTGACCATTGTATATACCGGTACAGACCATTGTATATACCGGTACTGACCATTGTATATACCGGTACAGACCATTGTATATACCGGTACAGACCATTGTATATATCGGTACAGACCATTGTATATACCGGTACTGACCATTGTATATACCGGTACTGACCATTGTATATACCGATACAGACCATTGTATATACCGGTACAGACCATTGTATATATCGGTACAGACCATTGTATATACCGGTACAGACCATTGTATATACCGGTACAGACCATTGTATATACCGGTACAGACCATTGTATATACTGGTACGTCCTGCTTTGGTGTTGCCTTGATTAATCAATGTTGAACATTTTGCTATTTTATCATGCTTAATCAGTTCTGTACACAACAATCGCTGGCAGTATATATAATAATTTATATCATGTCTGGTTTTTTTGCATCTCCATCTCCAAACCAGTTGATTCAGATTCGAACCCGTACAATGACAATGTTGTGTTTAATTTAATCTCATGCCTAAATACCCAGAATAACTTAATTTGATTTTTGTGTCCATTTTGTTCAATATTACAAAAAAGCGAATGTGTGTTTTCAAAGTGTTTCAGTACATAAGAGCAGGGTATGAAACTCTTGAAATTACTCTGAAATACTTGCCAGCCCTGACCAAAACCTGCCTGCCCACTATAATCATATGTTTCTCAGGATAATTAAGCTAACGGGGTTTCTTTTTGGTTACATTTTATCATTCATCTTTACATGTGAATTAATGCTTATCATCGGGAAATATTTTGAATATTTTTACATATGAAATATAACCTGACCGTCGGGCAGGGGGATTTGAAAATCTGGCAGCCCGAGTTGAAATCAACCCGTCTCGGACGGTCGGGCAGGCAGGTATTTCGAACACTGATAAGAGATTGAAATGTAAAAATAACTTGAAATACAGTACAGTACAGTAGTTCAGTACAGTACATTACAGTACAATGGTATAGTCAAACCTGTCACTACACCTTTAAAATGTTTCCCCCATGGCTGATATCCAATCATGTGTAAGGAAATGATGATACAAAGAAATCCTTGAGTGCAAGTACCGTAAATGTAGTTGTTTGCTTCACTTGGCAATATTCCAGTCATACCTCAATGGTGTGGTTCAGACAAACCAGTGATTAGGTTTCATGCCAAACCCAGGAACACATTGATCCTTACTTCATGTTGGAATTACAACAAACATGGTGTACTGAAGGTCTTTTCTTTTCACTCAGAGACACTGACTCTGAGCCGACCCCTTAATGCCGAGTGCCAGGCAGGGTGACAAGTACCATCTTTCAACGTCTTTTGGTATGACACGGCCGGGGATAGAACCACCGACCTTCTGCTCCTGGGGCGCATGGCACCATGGAGGTGTTTGTTTCCATTTGGGTCTGCACATGTGTACAAATACAAAGAATTGGCTTCCCAATTAGAAGAGTGTTTGCAGGTACTTGTATTTCCAGAAACAGCACATTCACCACCATGTCAAGAAAGCCAAAGAATTAACAGCTGCACTTAAATCAGAAACACACATCAGCTAACACTCCAATAAATGGATGGGGAGCTTCACAACAGAATGAAATGTTTTATATCCCTAAGAACAGATGATTAGTACAGCCGAGATCTTACCGGTCCCACACAGTTCAGTATGACTCTAGCCTGTTTACACATGTCCAAGATTGACTGCTCGGCGCTCGAGTCGGCTATAATGACTGGAGTGTCCTCCAAAGTCTTTCCTGCAAAGGGATAAAAAAACAAAAACAGTGAATGAATGTTGTTATACAGCTACTAGATTAACAGATTATCAAGGCTGCTGCTTGTACACCAGTTGAGTGAGGTGAGGTGAGGTGAAATTGGGTTTAACGTCGCGTCCAAGATTATTACACTTATATAGCGACGTGCATGCACGTGTATGTGGCTGCTTGTACTAGTCCGGACTGATGCCGATTTATAGTGCTAGCTCACTGAGATACCATGCCGCAGTTTAACATGAATACCCCACTCAAACACGGTATACTGACTCCAAGCCGACCAGTCCTTGTTTTAGCCCCTTAATGCCGAGCGCAAGACAGGATAACAACAAGTACCATCTTTTAACGTCTTTAGGTATGACGCATCCGGGGATCGTACCCCGGACCTTCCGCTCTCTGGGCGGACGCTCTTCCACAAGACCACGGAGGCGGTCACCAGTTGTGTGAGTGAGTGAGTTGGATTTAACACCACTTTTGACAGTATTCTGGCTATATCCAGTGGAGACTGAACAAGACAGGTTGATGCCACAGGCAGCATGGTACAGTGTCACTTTCTGCCTAAAATGTAGCAATCCTTCTCAGCTAATGCCATCATATTTTTTTTACATTTTACTTATTTTTCATAGCATTTTTTCTCTCATTTTAAATAAAAAAATTCTTTAAAAAAGGCGGAAAACTTACTAAACCGAAAAAGATGATAAACACATATGATTACTTTATGAAAGATATGACAACTCTTCACATCTGCCTGGTTTGTGGGAAAAGGTACCTGTACTAGGTAGGATGATGTATTTCATTCTATGGCCTGTGTGTTTCATGAGGAATGGGCAGTGGGGTAGCCCAGTGGTTGAAGCGTTTTGCTCATCACACTGCAGACCCTAGTTCGATTCCCCACGTGGGTACAACATGAGAAGCTAATTTCTGGTGTCCCCGTTGTGATACTGCTGTGATATTGCTGGAATATTGCTAAAAGCAGCACAAAACCATACTCACTCATGAATGATCCCTGTCAACTGGTTTTCAATTTTGAGATACGGTATGTAAACTAAACATTTAATCATACTAAATATCAAACAAAACAGGAACTTCTTGGGGCACATGTTGAGGTTGTAGAGAGACTACACGCCATATGTGACTACAGCAATACAAAATCTGGTACTGGAAACAGTGTCTTACAAAATCCTTTCCAAACTTGATGCTGTCCACACAGAATACAACAAAACACCTTCCCCAGGTGCACTTCTGCAACTGAGAGCATATGGCTCACATAAACCTGCACATGTGTCAAATGGTTAATAAACTACCCTAGTGCACATGTACCAGTAAGACAAGGACAGTTTAGGATTATATCTCTCCATTATACCATCAGTATTTCAGTAATAACATATCCTCCAATCAAATGAAGTTGTTGTTTTCTTAACAACAAAAGTACTACATTTCATCAGTTAAAAAAGAGATATCAGGGGGTAATATGTTTTATCTATTATTTTTACTGGGGGAAAAAATGAGGCACAAATGATGAAGTACAGTTATGAGAGGTTGGTGTGTTCATGAGGTCATGTTGACCTCAAGCCTCGATTATCTACAACAGACAGACTAGCCTTGCTCCAAGGCTATACTGAAAGAAAGGGCCATGGATGTTTAGTAATTCTATCCTCCTCATAGCCAAGTCTAGATATGTAGACAGTACAATCTAAGGACTCCAGTCTCTAGGAACAACTTGTTCTTCTTATTTACATAATCAAGAACTTATGATTTAGACTAATAATTATTGCCTTAGAGACTTGTGAAAGTCTACAGACAGACAAGCAGGCTCACTTCACTGCCTGGGTCAGTCTGACCTAGCATGGCTCTTCTGTATAAACAAAGGTCAAGGTTTTGTTCAAAACATTTTCCTGGTTGACAAAATCATTAGCCACGAAATTCACAGTAAAATACATGACATCCATACTAATATCATGGCATGCTGCCATGCTTAACACAATCAATTATTACCATGTTTACTGCCTGCTTGACTACACAAATAACATGCCAAAATATATGCATATGGTTATCACGGTTATAGAAAACTCTTTATCATGTTGTGGTTAGAAATGTTTTCAATTTTAAACTAACACAGAAATGAATTCTATTAAAGCAAGCAGGAAATCGTCATATTTCCTCGCCAATGGTATGCTCTATTGATGTGATTGATGCTCTTGACTGATAAGTGAAGAAATACAAATTGTTTATTGAATTTGTCGTCATGAAAATCAGAATATTTTTACTCTAAACATCCTTATACAGAAAGGTGTCTGTACATTGCAAAACTGATATCTGCGCAAAATGTGATAAAGAAACATTGAATGGTCTTGAGTTATGCTCCACGAAATACATGATGGAAGGATAACCCCGATTTCTCTCTCTCTCCCCCAACCAACAACAACCCCCCCCCCCCCCCCCACACACACACACCTTGTGATGGGAGAGATGATAATGGCCATATTTGAGAGAAAATTATTTTCTACATCTTCCAGGGATTCCTTCATTATAACAAAATAATTAATTTGCTCCACTAAAAGATGACTGTGATCAGAAGTGATATATTTTGTTATCAGCATGAGAGGATGCAATAATCTGTATCACACAGCTGGGCAGGAGATAATGATCCATACTGATCAGCTGATGTGTGGAGTGAGACCCTCGTATGCAACATCTGGGTCTTGCTGACACCACCAGCACACATGCTATATAGCAATCAATGGCATTAAATATTGATATTATTTCTAGTTTGAAATTCTAGGTCAAAAGTTTATGCAGTCTACACCAGCAAGTATCACATCTATGTGGGCAAAATATTATTCAAATGACAGAAATTGTTTTACAGGTATTAGGTATTTTGTGTGAAATTCTAGTCCAAATGTTAGTGAACTACATGTACTAGCAAGTAAGATATCTATTACAAGGAAAAGATATTACAAATCAATAAAACAGTTGTTATGCAGTTACTTTGCAGTATCAGATGGTAGAAATGAAAAAATATATGAGTATTTTACTTAAAGTCAGACCAATTATTCATTACTTGCTTCGCAGGTTTCAGATGAGGCTGTCTCTTTTCATAGATGCTGGACCTACCGGTATGTCAAATACAGATTATCAAACAACTGACCCAACTGACATGCTCATTCTCAGTAATCTTTGTTAATGTTGTTTCAGAGAATATGTACAGCATAGAGACACAAGGCTCTGTAGCTCATTGGATGTTGTCTGGAACATTATATTAGATCAGAGAGGTCACAAAATGACACAGAAGAGTGATAAGTGAGTGAATTAGTTCAGTTTAATGCTGCTTTGAAATGTTTGTTTGTTTTTTACACCGCACTTGTTTGTTGGTTTACGCCGCACTCAGCAATATTCCAGCTATGTGACGGTGGTCTGTATATAATCCAGTCTGGACCAGAAAATCCAGTGATTGATAGCATGAGCATCGATCTACGCAATTGACTATTGCCATCGATTTACAGCAGGCATGGGTTGCTGAAGACCTATTCTTCACAGGTCCCATGTACATGTACACATGAATGGTTATGGTTGTGCATTATGAGCATCGATCTATGCAATTGGGATACAATGACATACATCAACCAAGTCAGTGAGCCTGACCAACCGATCCTGTTAATCGCCTCTTACGACAGGCATGGTCGCCTTTTACAGCAAGATTGGGTTGCTGAAGACCTATTCTACCCCGGATCTTCTAGGGTCCTTTGAAATGTATTCCAGTTATATCACAGCGTGTCAGCTTAATGTTGGAGGAAGGCCTGAGGGGATACAGTGGACATTTACCACCTTGGTGAAACCCACAAGCACAATTATGGTGCTGACAAACCTAGGAACATAATCAGGGTGAACCAGGATTTGAACTCATGATCATAGCTTTCTGGTGTACCTAAGGGCCATTGAATCGCGGCGCCTTAGACAACTGGGCCACCCGTGCCCCATCGACTGTCACAGATGCAGCAAAACTAGATATATAAGGGTATGTGAAGGTCAAAAGACATAGCTGGGTAAAAAATCAAAATCGTATATATATATATAATTCCCAATACCACAAATTTACTGGACATAAAATGTCATTATGATACATACAGTTAGGGACATAAATGACGCTTTCAATATAGTTGCTATGTCAGTCCTGATAAAAATTGACTCAGAATTCTGTGAGCATGTTTTACTTGATAGCTGGAATCATCCATGCAAAATTTAACTTCACACGTTTATAGGCTTTATAGTAGATGTCCAGAATGAAAAAGGTTTATGACAAACTGACAGACAGCCGGACAATGAACTTTGTCAGGTGAGCCAAAAATATAAAATTTTGGTAGCTACTTGCAAAAACAAATTAAGTATAGAGAAACACAACATACCATATTTCCTCTATTAGATGCCCAACTTTGCGCAAGGCGTGGACCTGCCACAATTCTGTTTTATGCTGGCACAGTGGATCTCACAACCTCACAGAATCCCCAATTCTACACTCATATAATGGGTTTTGTTTGTCTGTTTTTGTTTAACGCCGCACTCAGCAATAATCCAGCTATTTGACAGCGGTCTGTAATTAATTGAGTCTGGACCAAACAATCCAGCAATTAATATCATGAGCATCAATCGACGCAATTGGGATATGATGACATGCAGCAACCAAGTCAGCGAGCCTGACCACCCGATCCCGTTAGTCGCCTCTTAAGACAAGCATTGTCGCCTTTCGCGGCAAGCATGTGTAGCTGAAGACCTATTCTATCCCGGATCTTCACAGGTCCCTATAGTGGGTACATTTGCAGGACCAACATATGACAGTATTAGATACCCGGCATCTGATAGAGGCCTGGCGTCTATTTTTTTTGACAGAGCGCATGACCCAGTGTTAATTAGAGGCCAGCATGTATTAGAGGCCCAGCGTCTTAGAGGAGACATGGTACCACTAACCCCACTGCAGTCTAATACACGCT